GGTGCAGCTCGTCCAGAAAGAGACAATCGTGGGATGGAAAGTACGAGGAATGCGCACTTTTTTGCTAGGCAGGGGGAGATACTTCTAAGTGTATCGGCGTAACGTGACCTCTCGTGTAGAGAGGAGTTGGGGGCCTGGAGCAGAGCCTCCTGTCCCTGTGAAAGTACAGTTTTTGCCTCAAATTTAGTTTGGCTACTGTGTCAGTACCAAGGAAAAAGCTGTTCAGGGTTGACTATTTAAAAGATGCTTTTAAGGTTAACAGTTAAAATGGCAGTTCTTAAATTTCAGAAAGCCCAGGTAGCTTAAAGGCTTTTTTGCATAGTAACAGTTCAGTGGGTTACCATGTTTAAAAAAAAACAAAACAAACAAAACAGCTTTTTCTCTGTAGGTCATTAGGGTAATTGCGATAATAAATGAGCTTCATTATAAGTAATCTTGGAAAAAAATACTTTAAATATGCCAGAGAAGGTTGCTGCCAGTTGTTCTGCAGCACACCTGATGAGAAGACGTGCAGGGTGCCTGCAGGCTCCTGTGAAGCTGAGGGGAATTGCAGCAGCTCCTCCTTGGAGGAGCAGGGGTTTCTCGGATAATTACCACTTGCGTGAAGATCCGATGCTGTGTGTTTGAGTAATTCCATTTTAATGTAGGGCTTTTCACAGATTCTGGTCCTGTCTCAGCTTCATTCAGAAACTTGTGTGGAATGTTGCTCAAATGTTGAACCATCACAGTACTGCATAACTAGTTTCTGTAAAAGCGAAGTTTTAAAATACCAATCATGTAAAAATACTGTTGGCAGCCACTCCTTAAACGCTGCTGTACTGTTGTGTGTATGTGGTGGTGTCTTCTTCCTCCTTGCTTTTTTCCAGTCTTAGCAGAAAACTAACCTAACTTTTTACTGGTGATCTAAAAATCAAGAAACCACTATCTTGAATTATTTTGTTTGTACTTAGTACCTTCAGGGGAACTTTAAAAAAAAAAAGTCATAGCAATTTGTGTATTTAAATTGACAGTTACTGTAATACAGGCTATGTTACAGTTTGCCTTGAAATAATTGCAATTTAAAATCATTGCTTGAGAGGAACTATATAAAAAGATGCTAATACGTTTCTTTTCTCCATCACTCAGTTGAGGTTCTTCCCTGATGTGATGTAACAGGGGAGGGAACTGCAGAAGCGCTCCTGTCCCTTGGGGACAATTGATTGGTGCTGTAAAACTTTTTTGATCTTGTGATTTAGAGTTTGTGTGGAGAAAGACACTTCCCGAGACTGCTGAGCAAAAGGCAGTGTTCAGTGCCACAAGGAGCAAAATGGAAATAGGGAAACAGCATCTGCAGTGCGTTTCCAGTATCTGTCCTCTCTGGACGTGTGCGTGGTGCTCTTCTAACGTAACATTTCACTAATCAAATGTCGTACTGAGGAAGGAGAGATAAGGCATCTCCTTGCAGCACCCCGGGCTGTGGAGTAGAGTATCTTGTAACACCTTTGGGTGCTCTGCCCATTCTTCTCTTTGCTACATCAGCTACTAAGGGGTATCGTGGATCTAGAGCACAATGTTCATAGAGGTGGAGAATTTCACCTTTCAGTCTTGCATCTCTCTGTAGCTTTTGAATGTCTGGTTTTGTCAGCGGTTCTCCTTGTTCCCCTGCGTTCAGGCTCTTTTGATTAGCGGAGGGAGTAGGAAGGCCTTGCTCACTTTGCCAGTTCTCTCACCCATCTCTTCTTATCCTGTGTCTAAACTAAAAATTTCAAGCTTTCCTGATCTGGAGGTTTGGCATACGTTTGTGCCACCTGGGTTTGACCTCTTTACTTGCTGATTTAAGAAAGGTTATGGCTGAATATTGCCTTCGGAGTGGTGTATCATGCGGATAAGTCACTGTGGTAATACTCTTTCTGCTGCCTCTTTACCACCTTCACACGTTGTTCCTGTAGCACTGTTGTGCGGCAAGACACCTGAACTGAAGACCTTCCTCTCTTTTTCCCTCCAGTGTGTCAGAAGTCGGCTGTTCCTGACCACTGTCTGTGGTCTTGCACATGTCACTGTTGACGTCCTATTGCTCAGCTGATGTGTTCAGGATGGTGGAGTGCTCTTAATTTTCTTTTTTTTTTTTTGAAAATTTTTTTTTCCCCTCCAATAGCTAGGTCTAACTGTAAAGCTTCTGTAGGCCCAACTGAAGTGCATGTTGCTATGGGGGTCTACAGGCCAGGAAATGCCCTGA